TTAACATATTTAAAGGAATAATTTGTATATTATTTTTTATACTGTTGAGTAGATAGCAATTTTTGTTGCATTTTTGTTATTTAGAAAACTTTAATATGCATGTGTTTTCTTGTTGGTTTAATCCCTCAATTAATGTATCTTACATAAAACATGACAGCATCTTTCTGAATCCCCAGTATATTAGTTTGTTAAGGCTACTATAACAGCCTGAGCAGATCCTATTGGCTCAATCTTCTTTACTCTGACTTTTTCCTTGGAGTGATTCTTCTTTCATTTCATTCTGTCTCTGTTCCTTTAAGTCCAGGGTAGCAACATTTTTGCTGGTATAAAAATCTCAAAAACTGTGTTGGCTCTCTGTGCAGTTCATGGCTGCCCAAGCCATCAGACAGAAAGGTCCTCCACACTTCTTTCCAGGGTAACTACATCTCTAGTCCAGGCTTCTTCTGAGATGGTTGAGTTGATCTGTAATTCACATGCTGAATCTCCTTAGCAGATGTTTGTCCTAACAAACCATTGGCCTGGTCTCTAGAGCACACTTAGGTGGATAGGCTGACATGTTTGTTTTTGCTTAGCAGTTCCTTCATCATTTTGTTTCTTCCCTCTTCAATCTTACAATAAACAGCAAAAAAACAAGATCCACCTTTCATGCTTTCCTTGGAAACATCCTCAGCTACATATTCAAGCTCATCACTTACAAGCTTTACCTGCCGCCCAACAGAAGAACACATTTCTGCCACTGCATAACAGAGATCAAGAGATCGCCTTTCCTCCAGCGTCCAATACTGTGTTCCTCGTTTCTTTTTCTTTTCTTTTTTTCACATTTATTTATTTTTGAGATACAGAGCACAAGTGGGGGAGGCGCAGAGAGAGGAGACATCAAATCCGAAGCAGGCTCTAGGCTCTGAGCTGTCAGCACAGAGCCCGACCCAGGGCTTGAACCCACAAACCATGAGATCATGACCTGAGTCGAAGTCGGACGCTCAACTGACTGAGCCACCCAGGTGCCCCTGTGTTCTTCGTTTCTATCTGATACCTTGCCGAAAGCAACTTTAACAAAGTTTATATGTCTAGCAACATTCTGTTCATGACTATATACGTATTGTTTATGTTGACAAAGTTTCTTTACCCTTTTCTTCTCCAAAGCCACTTCCACATCTTTTTAGGCATTTGTTCAGCAGTTATGCTTGCCAGTACCAAAACTTTGTTATTACTTTTCTAAGGCTGTATTGTTTCTGAGGACTGCTGTAACAAAGCACCATAAACTGGATGGCTTAAAACAACAAAAATGTGTTGTCTTACAGTTACGGATGTTGGAAGTCCAAAATCAAGGTGCCAGAAGGTCTGTCCTCCCCCTGAGATCCTTCCTTGCCTCTTCCTGGTGGTGGAAGTTAATCCTTGGTGGTCTTTGCCTTGTAGATATATTACTCCAGTCTGTGCCTTCATCTTCACATGGCCTTCTTGCCTGTGTGCTGTGTCTCTTCTCATAGTGATACCAGTCCTATTGGATTAAAGGCCTATCCTACTCCAGTATGATCTTAAGTCATTACTTCTGCCATAACCCTGTTTCCAAATGGGATCACATTCTGATATACTTGGGGTGAGCACTTCAGCATACTATTTGAGGGGGTCACAATTCAACCTTTAACACCCTCATAATCATAACACCCATATCAAGTTGCTATTAGGCTTTTCTTATTTTAAGGCATTCTTTCCTTAGTTCCTTCCTAATTAGCATTTAATTTTTATAAATAGACTGAAAAGCAGAATCATTTCACACATTTTTTCCTACCTTCAAAGCCTTCCTTGTCAGACATTTGCACATGAAAGTATTTTTTTCATAATTAATTAGCCATCCTGTGTGTCATGAAGAAAATATGTCAAAGGAATACCTCAGTTTGGGTGTGTTAAGTATTTTATCATTTATTGTGGTTATGTGAAAATTCCAATTCTAAGATTCAAACAACTAAATTAATATTTTCTGTCTTAGAAAGTTGTTGAATTTTAAAGTGTTTTCATCTTTAAGTTAGATTGTTGTTTTTAGTATAAATGCTAACATGAATTTGACTTTTTGGGAGATAGGAACAAATAGTCATGACTCTGTAATAAGTCTTAGGGTACTGAAATATGGAAGAATTCAATGCATACAAGCTTCTGACAATTCTCTCTAAATTTGGACTCTGCATTTTTAACCAGTGTGTGTGTGTGTGTGTGTGTGTGTGTGTGTATGTATTTATATTTATATAATTTATTATATATTTTATTATATATATTTATATAATATATTATATATTTATATATTTATGCTTATATATTTAAACATATGTATTTAAATATTTATTTTTAAGAGAGAGAGAGCGCACGAGACATATCATGAGCAGGGGAGGGGCAGAGAGAGAGGGAGACACAGAATCCAAAGCAGGCTCCAGGCTCCGAGCTGTCAGTACAGAGCCCGATGCGGGGCTTGAACTCACAAACTGTGAGATCATGACCTGAGCCGAGTCAGATGCTTAACTGAGCCATCCAGGTGCCCCAATATGTGTATATTCTTAAAAGAAGCAACAAGAATAGCTATTCTTATTAGTACTTTGACTTGATATCACAAATAGTTTGTTTGAAAAGTATTATCTATTACTGATTATTGCTCTTTGTACCAATATGTAATGTGCAAGTTTCTTTATTTCTAAATGGGACTGCTAATGTTATTCTTTCCTACTAATAAAGGTATGTATTACATTCTCTTAAATGATCTCATTTAATTTTCATTGGGGTTTAGATGAGTGTTACTATTTGTCACTAGTAACAAGAATAGATTTCTCTGTCCTGCTGAATTTTACTATTTTTGACTGTGACATTATTCCTTGCATAATTTTGGGTATTTTTTTGCCTGTTTATTTCTAAATATTTAAATTTGGAAATAACACTTACCTGTTGTCTTTGGAGTGAGTTGAGCAATCAACTGAGGGGTAGATCTTGTTGCATGTTTGCAAAATCTAGGACTTCTGGGAGAGGGGTATGGGAAATTAAAATGAATTTAAACAGAATTCTCCTTTCCTAACGTAACTGAATAGTGTCTATATTGTTTACTCCCTTATTTTTCTTCATGAAGTAAGTATTAGTAACATTTGAAGAAAATAAGAAAGTTTCTGCTGATGAGTCTGAACTTCTGTTTCTACCTTTAGTGAAAAGATTGCATTTTAAACCAAAATATCCTAAAATTTCTCAGGATTTCCATTTTCCATATTTCTAACCCAAGATAATTATAGCAAAATGTTGTAGAACTTTCTCTATTCCTAACTAATAATATAAAACAGAGTTGTAGTTAAACATTACTGCATTCAGAGGAATAATTGGTTCAACTTACAGTGTTTAGGATGAGTTTTTTTTTTTTTTTTGTGGGGGGGGGATTGCAGATAGCAGAACAGCGAGCAGGAAGGCATTGTGGTAGGAACAGAGGTACTGAGTGAAGGAAACGTCTGGTGCATTTGGGCTCTCTTCAATTCCTTGCGTTGAAGAGGAGTATTTATGTTGATTTGCAATGGGAGAGAAACTTGGAAATCTCCCTGGCAGAGTCAAATCTTGCATCCCTTGAATGCCAGACTTAGGAGTCTAGACTTTATTCTAACGGTAGAGGAAGTTAGATTACAGTTGAACTCAGAAATGAAAGATTACAAGATATGTGAGGGGGATTAAAGTGGTAGCTGTAAGAGTGAATTGGTGCTAGGAGCTACTGCAGGCAGAGAAATGAATTAGTTTTGTTTGCTAGGGTGTATTGTCTGCAAGTAAAGATGGAAGGAGTCTGGATAAGGACTTTACTCAGGAGACATTTAAAAGGAAGGTCTAATAGCAGATGATGACAGGGTGATGACAGTAGAGGAGAAGGGAGGGATTAGGAAATGCTGACTGTGAATGTAGGAGAATGGAAGAATCATGGTATCATTGATTACAGAATATTTGTTTACAGCTGAAGAAGTTATTTTAGGCAGGTTGACTGTAGGGTGTTTCCTGAACTTTCAAAGCATTGTATCTGTCAAGATTTGGACTCTAGGGGTGGCTAGTACAGGCTGGAAAATTAAGGCTTTGAAGTTAATTTGGATGGAGATGATGATTTTATCACCAAAATATTGAGAGACTTATTGTTTCAAGGCTGTTGAATCAACCAGGCTCTTGCCATGTTTGCCAGGGATTGTCAGGGCCTGTTAGTTACATCTTTGAGACTACTTCTGTACCACCATTTGAATGATATCTGACATGTTACATGGCATCTTGGCCTAGACACAGTTTAACCTTTTGAAGTCTTTATAAGAAACTTGTTTTATAAGATAGAACTTCTGACTATGTATTCACAATAATCAAAGTTCTGGTAGATTTAAAATAATATTTTCTTTGAATTTCTGCCCTTAACACTATTCGGTTTTCTTAGTTACATATTTAAAGAGATGGTGATGAGTGTCTTATGGATAGGACATAGAAGAGAAGTCATTTTTTTGCTCTAATTATTGGTTAATTTGTGAGAGTATATTTATTAACAAGCATAAATGTGATTAAAGTATATATCAGAGAAAATTTATCTCAGTTCATTGGTTGAATTTTTCTAATCAAACATTAATTGGCTACTTTTATTCATTGGAACCTAGGTTTTCAACTTTATAGACCTTCCAGCATTCAGTATATTGATACATACTTATGATGAGAGGGTAATTGTTCTGTTGCAGGCATGCTTTCAAAAGTGTGCTCATTCCTTTCAGTTGTTCTTGATACACAGTTCCTGATGAACTCTGTACTGCATTCTCTCATCTTATTTTTTCATTTGTAAATGTGAATGTAGAGGTTGTCACCTCCATTCAGAAAAAATTGAATTTATCATTCACTGAATGTTAAAAAATGTAAAACATTACCCTCAAGTATGTAGTGAGTATTCATGTATGGTACAAAGTATGACTCGGTGTGACTTTATGTAGCCAGTAAAATGTTTAAAGCATTTGATCCCTGTTGTGTTTCAGTGCACCTGCAGGAAAGACATGGTGAAAATTTCAATGGATATTTTTGTGAGGAAATTTCAGCCAGACAGATATCAGCTTTGGAAGCAAGGAAAGGATATATACACCATTGACCATACAAGGCCTACTCCAGAATCCACACCTGAAGTAAAAGCATGGCTGCAGAGGAGGAGGAAAGTAAGAAAAGCATCCAGGAGGTAATGATTTCTTCCCACCCCATTCCACTTATACCTACTCAATAAAAATGGGTCATTGAATGTGATGTTCTCAGAAACTATGTGTTTGCTTTTTCCTGTTTATTCATCATAAATTTACTTAATATCTTACTGAAAATTTGAGGGAAAGTATAATTCGTAAGCTGTGTAATAAGTAGAATATAGGAAGTGGGGGGTATAATGTGTTTGTGAATATTCCTGACATGCTATACATGGCATATAGAACAGTCCTGGATGGCCAGGGCCATTTCTTTTAGGTGGGCATCTTGCTATTTTAAAATCCATTGAATAGGGTGTGTGTTACGTTGCTCAGGTCCTCAGGCAACTTTTATTTTCAGGCTCTTATATTTTCTTGGCTTATGTTAAACTTTTGTTCTCCAATATTACTCATTGTTTTTCTTTCAGATTGTAAAAGTAATATTTGGGCATTGGGGAATATTTGTAAAATAAGAAAAAGAATAGTGAAGGAATCCCAAATCACCCATAACATTATAATCCAGAGATAACAAGTTTTAACATTTGGTAGATATCCTTTACATATGTATTTATTATATAATATTACATACTTTTCCAAAATTGGGGCCATGCTCTGTTAACCCTTTGATTACCAGTTTTGTGTGTTTTTTTTCATATAATTAAATGATTTGGTTCAGCATAATATTTAATGCCTGCATGTATTTAATCCCTTGTTTTTGGACCTGTAGCTTATTTGTAGCTTTTTTTTTCCCCATTAGCTAAATAACAATGTAATTTCAAATCTTTGACCACACTTCTGGTATTTATTTTATTACTCTGACATTTATTTTCTGCTATTTTAGAATTGTAGTGGGTAGAAGAAACTTAAGAACGTGGAGTCACACTTCTGCATTTTATAAGAGATATACCTGAGGTGCAGAATTAGTAGCAAAAGTAAAACTCAGGTGTTCTTATTTTACCCTGCAGTTTACAGCAGTGATTTTCAAACTGTTGGTTTTCAAATTTATTTAGTAGGTTAGGAACAACATTTTTAAATTAGGAAGTAAAGTAGAATAAAAAGTATCATAGTCCTTCCCTGCGGTAAGGGTAAGTATTAATTCATGATGTGTGAACATGTGTGTACGTGTGTGTTGTATCACTATCTAAAATATATAACTTATAATTGGCTGGTTGTACTAAAAAATGTTTGGGAAATACTGATATAGAGAGTCATTGCCAAAAAGCCTACCTGTGGGAGGAGGCAATAGTCAATCTGAGTTCAGAAAAAACACCAATAGAACATCTTGAGAATTGTTCTTTAATGAACAGAAAACACAATACTTTAGGTGAATGATCTGGTCTTCTAGTGACTAACTATAGTGGCCTTTTTGGGTTGACAGAGAACATAGATCTATGACATTGGTCAGATTTGAAATGCCTTTTCGTAGGTTAAAATAATCAATGGACTTTGCTCACCCAGTTAGAAAGCCTCATGTTTAGAGGGGGTCATTGATTATGCACAGCCTTGTGGCTTGATCCTAGACTTTTCTGCTTTCCAGGAAATTTAAAACAGGGAATGATTTATTGAAATCTCAAAGAGAGATCAACCATGTTATTTTACAAGTACTATGCCATTCGTGATGTGACAATTTCCCACATTGCCTATGCATGGGTTTTCAATAAAAATGATAGTGATGATGATGATACCAGTACCATTAGAAGTAGAAGTCAAAGCTAATTTATGTTGGTTTTCCTTGGCTACTCCCTCTATCTCAGACCCTTGCCCACTCTGACTTCTATAGTGCATAGTGTTGTGGGGTGTGTGTGTGTGTGTGTGTGTGTGTGTGTGTTTGGACATGGAAATACATGTTGCTTAGATTTTAGTTGTAATTATTCTTAAATGATAGTGTTGGAAATGTGTCTTTTTTATGAGAGAGAGCCCGTGTGTGCATGCCTTGTGAGCAAGGGAAGGGCAGAGGGAGAGACAGAGAATCTTGAGCAGGCTCCGTGCCCAGCATGGAGACCAACTTGGGGCTTAATATCCTGGAACTGTGAGAGAATGACCTGAGCCAAAATCAAGAGTCAGATGCTTAACTGACTGAGCCACTCAAGTGCCTCAGAAATGTGTCTTATACAAAAGGTATCTACAACAAAGACATCAAGTGACTTTCTGGAAAATACTGAGAATAAGACAATTAAAATGGCATCCGCTCTGAAAACAAGAGTTAGATATAAGATGTTAAATACATATAGTTAGCCTGTCTCCTGTCTTAATTCCTTTAGCTAATGATGATTTGGCATTTAATTTTAATGATTTTCATGCATACTTCAGAATTATGCAAAAATCAGGGATGTGTTCACCTTAGAATGTAAATAATCTATTCAGATTTTAACAGCAGGTTATAGAGATCACCTCTTTTCCTTTTGCTTTCTTCATTGATTTATTTTCCCCATGTCATCATTTTTCACTTTATTTTTATTTTCAGACTTCTTTTAGTATTGTTATAAAATGTTAGCAATGACATTTTCCCAATAATATTTAATAACCAATTATTTACAATTGTTTTAATTTTCACTTTTAGTAAATTGTTATTAAAACTAAGATTTCAGGGGCGCCTGGGTGGCGCAGTCGGTTAAGCGTCCGACTTCAGCCAGGTCACGATCTCGCGGTCCGTGAGTTCGAGCCCCGCGTCAGGCTCTGGGCTGATGGCTCGGAGCCTGGAGCCTGTTTCCGATTCTGTGTCTCCCTCTCTCTCTGCCCCTCCCCCGTTCATGCTCTGTCTCTCTCTGTCCCAAAAAAAAAAAAAAAAAAAAAAAAAAAAAAAAAAAAAAAAAAAAAAAAGTTGAAAAAAAACCACTAAGACTTCAATTTCAAATCTAATCTACTAATTGTGAAGATTATTTTTGCATAATGATGAAAAAGCTATTAGTTTTTTCACTTCTTTCAGTAAGTGATAATAACGTTTGTATTGGTATGTGTTTTATCCTGTCCACAGCAAACATTCTGCTCTGACCACAGTGTCTCTTGTTAATAGTTTCCAGTGCACTGGTTCTTACCCTAAGAGGCTTAAGAATGAGGAGGATGAAGAAGTGTCACCTGCAGTCGATAGGGTGGAGGGCCTCACCTCTGACCAAGACCCAGAAGACCTCAAGGTCAGCGAAAAATCAGAAGAAGCGGTGAAGATGGGGAACCCAGAATCTCCTTTAGAAGAAGAGGCTTCTGCTAGCAGGAAGCAGTCAGATCAGAATTCATCAGATAATGTCAAACTCTCAGGTGAGAAACTGGCTAATTATGTTCATGTGTAAGTGTTGAGGTGGTTGATCTGGTGCCTTAAATCTGTGCTCTAGGATTGGTATCTTACTTTTCCACATAGCTTAACTGGTAGAGCATCTAAAGCTATGGAGTAATAATGAGGAGGCCAAATGATGTTGTAAAAGTCAGGAACATTACTGCTATGTGTGATGGAGTTCTGAGGCAGAGTGCCCATTTGGTGTAATAAAAAAAAGATTCTAAAATGAAAATTTTTTGTGGGGGTGCAACTCAGTTTAAAATATAGAATACATTTTTGGAAAGCTTCTCTTAAATCACATGGAATGGTAAAAACCAATTATAGATAATTCTTTGCAGATTCTTAGCTTTCAACTTAATTTTAAGAAGAAAATAAAGAATAAGTTTTTAAAAAATAATAACGAAAGTCATTTAGTTTTGTGAAATAGTAGGTATAAGCCCCCTGGCTGTTTCTCTGTACTAAAGTTATCATCTATACCTCTCAACTGCTTTGCTTTTTTCCCCTTTATAGTGTATTTCTCTGAAATTGCTGTATCTATTTGATATTTGTTTGAGTTTTTATCCTTTTACTAATTGAGCTTATTTTTTATTACTATTATTATTTTTTAATGTTTATTTATTTTTGAGAGAGAGAGAGGGAGAAGGAGAGAGACAGAGCACAAGTGGAGAGGGGCAGAGAGAGGGGGAGACACAGAATCTGAAGCAGGCTGTCAGCACAGAGCCCAACACAGTGCTCGAACTCATGAGCTGTGAGATCATGACCTGAGCCAAAGTCAGACACTTAACCGACTAAGCCACCTAGGCACCCCACTAATTGAGCTTATTGGTAATTTCTCATACTTCTCATCCATTCTGTCTTTCAATTGTGAGACTCCCCCAAATCTGGTTACCCACTCCTGCTTCCTCCTTGTTCAAAGTACCATTATCTCTTTAAATTTTTAAATTTTTATTTTTGAAAGAGATACAGAGAATCCTAAGCAGGCTCTGTGCTGTCAGTGCAGAGCCTGATGTATAGCTCAATCCCATGACCCTGGGATCATGACCTGAGCCGAAATCAAGAGTCAGACACTCAACTGACTGAGACGCCCAGGAACCCTGTGGTACTGTTATTCTTAACTGGACCATTGCAGAAATTGCTTCCTAGTTATCCATGCTAGTTACTTCTCCATATGGCACTCATAGTGATCCTTTAAAAAAATGTAGGTGAGGTCTTGTCCCTTCTTTCTTCATACTCTTATTCCACTTAGAGTAAAAGAAAAAGTCCTTATCATCGTCCAAATTTGATTCTCTTCTGCTTCTCCATTTTCATTACCTTTTCCCTTTAATATATGTATTTAAACAGGTTAAATCATAGACTTTCTTGTAGTGAGTTCATACTTTATTGGAGAGGTAGACAACCATATAAGTACAATCCAGTGTGGTAAGCACCACAAGAAAGAAGTCCTAGAGTGTTGCTGATATACCAAGGAAAGACTCCAAACAGATTAGAGGCTGGCCTGGCAAGGTTTCTTGGACTAGGTTATATCTGAATTAATTTGTGATGAATGGATAGAAGATTGCAAGGTGAAAAAGGTGGGGAAAGGAATAGCAAGCAGTGCAGAGAACACAGTTATGCTATGCATATGGATTTTTTTTATAGTCCCTTACCATAGTCTTTAATCACACTGGATTTAATTAAGTACTTGATGGGTCCCTCGGTGGTTTAGGCCAAGGGCACCCAGGTTTATTAGTTCTGTTGCTACATGGTTCCTTGTATTTTGACCTCCAGGTTTTGAGATCACTTAAGTACAGAACACTTAAGTACAAAACTTGGCTGGATTAAGCATCAAAGCTAGTATGTGATATGTGAAATGATGCTTATGAATATTTATAAGGGAGAGAGAGGGGTAAGTAGAGATGGCAGTGGAAGAGACTTGCTCATAATGTCCTTTCCCCTTTACATGCCATCAGTGTGTGATACAGGACCTAGTGTAGGACATACTTCTTATTTGGATCTGCACAGCCTTGCATGTATTCTTTCCATACATCCTCTGAGCTGGAATGTTTCATTAGTAGCAAGCAGCTCTTAGCATCATATTTCCTATTTTTAGAAAGATTTCAAGTTGCTATTGCTTTGGATAAGTATCATTATTGCACTTACTTTTGACATTGGTCTGCAGCATAACCCCTTTTTAATCTCTTATTTTGTCTGTAAGTGTATTTTTTTGCCAAACTCCAAGATCTCACCTTGACAACTATGAAGGCTCCATGGTGCTTTAGTGACATTTCCCACTCATATCTGTGAGACTTTAGAGGGGAGTTGAAAGACAGAAATTTAGGTGAGAATTACTATATAGTAATAATGCAATGTAAAATTTACTAATAGTCTTTTGTTTCACTCCTCAGGAAATAGTTGCTTAAGCACATCTATACCAGAAGAAGTACCAATTAAGGATGACCAAGCCTATGGTGTAATTCTACCTTCAAATCCCAGTGAAGCTGATGATTCCATATCTGGTGGCCATGTGACATCCAAGGAATCAGACCCACCCAAGCTTCCATGGCCAAAGTTACCTGAGTCATGCTTCTCAGTGGCAGAGAGTAACAGTGTGTTGATAGAGGGAGATGAGAGTGATGTGGAGACCCGCAGGAGTGGCCTCGAACCTGGGGAGATCCCAGTGATCCCCAGGGGAGAGAGAAATGGCCTCGCTGTCCTTGGTGTATGTGGCAATGTCTTCTTCTTCTTTTTTTTTTTTTCTTCTATATTTATTGTGTAGTGTGCTGAAAGCAGCATGATGTGCATTGAAATCTTGCTTTAGGGTGGAAATAACATTTCACATTTACAGGTCTTAATCATATTTCCTTCAATGACTGGAAGGTAAGCCTTTTGTGAGCTCTGGTTCATATGGTGATAATTTAGAAGCATGGAGCTTTTGGCTATATGCTGTAGCTTAATTTTCTTTCTCTTTAACTTTTTCTAAAATTGAACTTTTTTGAGATAGATTCATATGCAATTATAAGAAATAATACAGAAAGATCTTGTGTCCCCATTTTCCCCCAAGAGTACCTTCTTGGAAAACTATAGTAGGACATCACAGTGATACTGACAGGTAATGGTTCCGTTACCTGTAATATTAACCACACTGGAGATGATTCACCTGCAGGGCTCTGACCTTCTCTTGCCACCTCTGGGTCCCAGGCTTCCCATAGCCTCTTTTAACTCGCTTGGTTGTGCTTTCCCTTGACTCCTCTTGGGCTCTAATTCTAGGAGCTGACTGACCTCTCTGGTCCCACCCACTGCCAGAAACAGGCCTTTTGCCTCATGGAAAATTCAAGACCCCTCTTGATTACAAGCCACCCCATCCTACTCTTTGCTAGGGCCTCCCTGTTTTTCATATGTTCTTTTGTGTTTGTATTATATGCTTTTTGTATAAACTGTTGCTTTAACCAGGAGATTGTGAGTAGACCAGGCAGGTTCTGATTGCGTATAGTTATTGTCAGAATTCATTACCCTATTTTGACCTGTACACCTTGTTGAGGGAATTCAAGGACACAAGTAAGAAAAGCCTCAATTGTTGGGACTGACAAATTGAACTGGTCACTGAACAGACCCACTTCTTGATTGCTCTTGCTCATTTCAAATCACCACAGGTCTTTTCACATCTTTGAGTAACAAGGGAGTTTAGATAAGGAAATCAGTTTGGAATACTCTGTTCATAGTAGTTTTAGAATATCAAATAAAATATAGATAATTTGCTAATATGACCCAATAACTTTTACCATTTTATGCATGGTTGTTATCCTACTGAACTATTAAATATTTACCCAAAACATAAGAGGAATAGGAAAATATGGTCTAATTTATTTGAAACAGTTGCTAAGGGAAATTTGAAAATAGTATTCACATAATAATAAACAAAATTTACAACTTAATATCACTTGGGGATTAAGTGCAGCTGAGCAGATACTGGGATTCTTTGCGGAATGGTGAATGAGTCAAATGCCTGTTTAAATTACATTTACTCACATTCTTTAAGCTGGAATGGAACTGAAAGTACCTTTTCTGTTTCCTTGTTTTCAGTGGAGGTAATTCTATCCTTGGTGCCTTAAACCTTCATCCTTATCATTTCACTGAACAAAGACTGCTTGCATGGGAAAGCAAACACTGCTGTTGAGGCCTGGGTGACTTGGTTTGCCCCTTGTCAGCATTAGCTGTGTCGTGTTCTTTTCTCACACCGTGGTGTCAGGCAGACCTTCTAAGCAATATGGTCCCTTTTCGTTCTTGTATGGTTTTTACGGATGTTTCTTAGTATGAAGTGTAATGCTGTGTGCATGCTTGCAGCAGTCATCTTTAGTCAGTCTTCCCAAGAAATACTGAGTTATTTTTTGAACAATGTCTCTGTCCATCTCTCTGTTCATCTATAACTGGGCTTCCTGCTCTTCCTGGAATACACTGACTATGTCCCCATATGCATACTGTTCCTGCTGCCCCAAATACTCCTCCGAGGCCAGAGAACTCCCACAGTGCACTCAAGACTCTACTCAGATGTCTCCTTGTCAGAAAGGCTTTCTAAAAAAATAACTCCCTCCCATCTCTTTTCATGCCCTTTTTTTCCCTTTACTGCATATTTCTTAATAGTACCAGATAAATATATACTTTTTACTTTTTTATTGTCTGTGCCTTTCTCCTCTATAATGCACATTTCTTGAAAGCTGGGACATGGTGTAATTTTTTCTGCTGTAGTTCAGCTCTTAGAACAATGTGACACATAGTGAGGACTTGATAAATATTTCTTATTAATTTTTAGCTGGTATAACCACAGATAAATCTCATCCTATATTACTTTGACATCCTTTCTTTACTTCCATCTTTGATTAGAATGTTGCATACATTTTCTTTTCATCCATTTTGATTTCAGATATCAATGTAGTTTCTCTACTTCCAGCCACTGCTTCGTCAGCTTACAGGGACATTTCTGAGACTCATTTCTTTCCTAGTCAACTGTTGATACAAACCCTTTAGTTTCAAAGTCTTTCTCTGAACACCTCCCTCCTTCCCATCCATCCATCCATCCATCCATCCATCCATCCATTTTCCTTCCGTCCTTCTTTCCTTTTGGATTGCATGGGCAAGAAAGCTTGTAAGTCGGTTCTATCTGGAAGATGTCAGGATGCATATGTCTTTTGCACATACCTTTGGGAGGAAAGTAAAGTTTAGAGAGACCCACACGAAAAATTTTACATAAAATTTAAGTGGTTTCAAGATGACAGTAATGTGCTGTATTAAAAAAAAAAGAAACCTTAAAATCTTATTTGATCCTCAGAGAAGTGGTGATTTATTTCTGAATGGAAGGAAGTATCCAGGCTCACTGTAGCATTAATGCTATCTGAGTGAGGATAGAAAGCAAAATAACCTGCCATATAGTCATGTGGCTAGCATAGAGGTAACCAAATGCCACGGTTCTGTATTGTTACAAATATGTAATCCTAAATTTTGATTAGTTTGAAAGAACTTTTGAAAACTTGCTAAGTTCTGAGTTAATTGCAAGCTTGATAAGCTTACCCTATACCACAGTGTTCTAATGTGCGGTGGAAGGATAGATCATTGATCTCTTGGTAAAATAACTAATAGAATGGATTCCTGTTTCTTTTGACTTAAAGGCTTAAGGTTTTTAAAATAAAGGACTAATTCTCCAGGAGGTAAATAAGTATAATAATTCTTTATAATTAAATGGTCATAAATTGTTGTGAACCATAGTTTTCCATTTAAAACAAGTCTTTAACTGTGAGTATTTCTCCTCTATTTTTGCTCTGTGACCAGAGAATAGAGGGAGAAACCAAAACTGCTAAAAGTTGGCGCCATCCACTTAGTAAGCCTCCGGCAAGGTCCCCATTGACTCTGGTGAAGCAGCAGGCAACAAGTGATGAAGGTGAGTGTGTGATATTTCTCAGTGTTTATTCTGTGGATACTGTATGGTATTCAGCAGTCATTCTGTCTGTTTGTTGTAAGAAACTGGTCTAAAAAAATTGCTTGGTAGAAAATTTGACCAAGTTGCAAATACATACCATAAAGAGATCATAAGTAGTAAACAGTTTATAGACAAAAGGAATTTGGATTTTAAGGGTAAATACTTGCTCCACTAGTCTAGCCATGTTCCTAGTCAAAGTCTTCCCATTTTATATGATGGGATAAAATTAATCTTTTCTGACATTTGCCTTAGGACATTCTAGAGGAAGTTGGGAATCATTTCCCTAAAAGTGTCAAATCTTGGAGTCACCACGCTGGTTTTTTTTTTACATTGTCCTTATTTTTAACTTGAATCCTCCAAAATTATTAATATCATCTTGAGTAAGAAACTATGTTCAATACCTGTGTATCCAGTTATGCCTGGTGTGTGGTGAAACATCTTTTCTCCTTAATAGATTTTACTGACATGACTTGATGTGAACCAATTTCTATTCCTGGATGTAATATTTACTTGTTTGTTTTACCTGGTTACCCTTTTTACCTCTTTCTCTCTTTTTCTAAAAATGTCTTTTTGTTGTCTTCAGTTAAATATCAGATCACTGACTAGCTATTTCTTACTTGTAAGTGTTTCATAGCATCAGGGGGGACCTTATTTTTTCCATCTTTAAAAAGATCAATTTAAAAAGGTTTTCTATAAAAAGCCCACCTTCAAGGTATTGTCTTTACTGGAACAAATTGTTGAGGTCATATGCCTGTGAAGATGCTGTCAACATAGTAATGTGAAACTTGGGGTCAGTCTTCTTGTTTAGTTTAAATACAGTCATTAGAGTAGACATCTGTAGCAGATTTATTTTTTTATTTTTATTTACTATCTTCTTTTATACCCCATATTTAGTTAGGAAAAAAAGATGATCAGGGTAGGGATCAGATCATGATTGTAGAATTTTCTATAACACCAGTCGAAGGTGAAATTCTGTGTCTAGTAACAGAAGTAATGAAACATAGTTGTATTTATTTCCATATATCATCATGTTCGTTTCTTCCTTCTCCTACTTTATCATACCCAGCACAATCCATTTTCCTCTTAGTGTCAAGATAAAGGACAATTCTGTATAAGGTAATTACTATGTTACTTACAATACTTGTGAATTTTAATTATCCTTCCCCATCATCGCCTATGTTTAATACAGCTTTTTGGAAGGGAATCAATTATATTAACATACAAGGAAAACTGCTTTTTCCCATGTCCTTATTTTCCCAGGTCGTTTATTTTGATGTGGGCCATCTAAATTGGCTTAGAGTTTCTACATGGAGAGCAGTTCTGATTTCAATCAGGATGGCTTACAAAATTTATAAGCGAATTGGTTTAACAAAGTTGTCTAAAGGGTTTAAGGTTAAAATGTCTTGCTGCAACATTGGTGATTGTGGCTTTTGCAGTAGCATACTCTGTTAAGGAGAGAATACGTTAAGGACATATTAAAAGGATCCTCTGAGGAGTTTTGAGAATTGAAAAGAAAAAAAATCGGAGAATTTTAGTGATGAATAAATACTTTTACAAGCTTCCAAACTAACAATGGGGGGAATATTCTGTGTCCTGGAGTAAATTATATTTGACCCTTGAACATCACATTTGAGTTGCATGGGTCCACCTATGAGTGAACTTTTTCAGTAAATACAGTACCATAAATGTAGTAAATATAGTAATATAGTTTTTCAGTAAATATAGTACCATAAATGTATTTTCTCTTCCCTGTGATTTTCTTAATAAAGTTTTCTTTTCTTTAGCATACTTTATTGTAAGAATATAGTATATAGTACATATAACATACAAAATATGGTTGATTGTTTATCTGTGAGGCTTCTGGTCAACAGTAAGCTATTAGTAGTTAAGTTTTGGGGAAGTCCAAAGTTATATGTGGATTTTCAACTGCATGGGGGTTTGACCCCCCTAACTCCTAAGTTGTTTGAGGGTCAACTATATTTATATCATGGGGCCCTTGAATGTTATCTTTGCCTTTGCCTCTGTGTCTGGTACTGTTGGAAGTGAATGAGCATCGTCATCATTAGAAAATGATGAACAGTGGGATTAGTGCTCTTTGGGAGCACACAACTCCAAATCCAGCTTCTTTTAGGAATTTCCTACCCTAACTACTGGGCTCCTTTTGCATTCCTCATACACAAGTAAGTGTGTATGTGAGTCAGGAGTATAACTAGGTTAGAGCATCTGAGAAATTGTGTCTCTAAACAGCAGTCAGTATCCTCTGTTGGTAAATGAGCATTTCTCAGTTGAAGCTTGAATTTGACTCCTTAATAGAAAAGCAGCAAAGGGGAAAAATACTGATTCAGCACCTCTGGGATTTTATGTGCAGGTAAGAGATAAGAGTCATTTCTAAGTTTGCTCTCTCAAAAGACAGTGAAGTAGCTCTTTGATATTCAAATGACCTAAAACTATAGAGACCATTCTGGTTAGTGGCAGATCCAATAATTATAGAATCAGCAAGGATTTCCTGACTCTCAGCCTGTTCTTTCCTGGAAGATTTTCCATGCTTACCAGCAAAACACTGGTTGTTGGTGGTAGAGCAGAGAGGTGATACATAAGAAAAGAATGCCATTTAGAATATAGCATCTTTACAGAAAAACTAGTATCAAATTCATCCTTTTCTCCTCTTTCTCCTTCTCCCCCTCCTCCTTGTCCTCCTCCTCCTCCTTCTTCTAGTGGAAAAAAATTTTAGGTGTATACTGAATTTTATTATTTATAATTGAAAAGAAATTACTAATCTCTGGTTTTCTTTATATATATATATATATATATATTTTTTTTTTTTTTTTTTTTTTTTTAAGAGATTGGTGGTGTGCATGCATGTAGTGGGAGAAGAGGAGAGAGAGAGAAGAGATCTTAGCGGAGGCGCGATCTTTAAACTAATGAGGATCATGACCTGAGCTAAAATCGACTTAACAACTGACCACCCAGGTAATTTTCTTTCAGCTGAAATGTTTTCCATTTACATTTTTCCTTAAGTTAGGCAGCTGCACAAAGTGATCCTGAAACATGGATTAATATTGTATATTTTTTTCTGTATATTAATGTAATTAAACAAATGTTGAATCAAAATATAAACTTGAAAGAAAAGCTCTTGGGTGGGTCTCTTTTTTTTTTTTTTTGAAGCATTTCTTATGTGTTCCTCTCCTCCTCTTGTAATTTGTCAATATAATGGCATATTCCTATTCTCCAACTTCAGCACTTTATGGCTGAGTGCCTGTAGGGAAGGTGAGTGTGTGTGCAGCATGGGTGAACCAGGCAGGCTCTAAGAAGAATACTCTTGCTTGACCTCAGGAGTACTGAGAGTGAGGGGATGGACCCACTAGAGTTAAGCTTAGAAATCTGCCACAGTATTTCTTTTTCCTTGACTGGTGACGATGCATGCTCAAAGGCTCTCACATATTTCCCTTAATATTCCAGCTTTGATATAGGATAAGTGACTTTAAGGCCACCATGATCCAGTACTAGCTTTGCTCTCCAACTTTGTTTCTCTCAACTACCCTCCATGAAACCTCCTTCTCTTCCATTTAGACAACTTTTTTTTTTTTTCCTCCTGAGTATAATCTACTGCTTTTTATTTCCACATGCTTCCCCCAACTATTGCTTTCCCTGTGATACCCTTTTCCTTCTTGGAATCATTCTCTGCTCACCACTTACTCCTTTCCTACCTCTGCTGTCCTATTATATCTATACTTACTTGGCTTTAGAATGCCACTTGTCACCTTATATTGTGCTTCATTGTCTGTGTGTCTGTCTCCCTGCTCTCATTCCTTTCATCTTGCCTCCCCTGCCTAGTCCAAGGTTAGTTAATCACTGTGGCTTAAATCACCTCTGGATACAAGAGCAGGAAAGCCCTGGTGATCAGTAACTTTGAAATCGGCCATTAGTCAAATACTTTAATATTTAATACGCTGTCATATTAAAGGAAAATGTAAATTTCAATCCAGGAAATATTCTCTGTAAGTATATATGTATGTGAAAACATGCAGTTTTAATTAGCTGGAGAAATATATATGTCAGCTAACCCAATTTTGTATTCTGACTGTATTAGAATTTTCTTTATCACTGTGCCAAATCCTAGGATGTGCTCAAAGTTAAAATGAAGCTGATACATTGTAGACATGGCCAATGCTTTGGAGACCTGAGGGCTCCCAGAGTAATGATATTCCCATTGGGATAGTTGCTTACCTAGCACCTCAGTTTGTATATGTATTTGTTGCCTTTCTTCCCAGTTTGAAGTCATTCCAGATGCAAAAATTTTTAACTCCTCATGCTTTTGCTGATTAGGATTTTTTTTTGACATGTAAAATATTCATGTTTTATTGTTAGTAGAAAGCAAAACTATACCATCTGGGAGGAAAAGACATTTTATATGTGTATATATGTACATATATAAATATATATTTATATATACTATGTTACGTAAGCATTTTGAAAGAGATACACTAAAATGGGGTTTATTTCTTAGTGTCATGTTTTTATTTTTTCTCTGTTTTCTAATTGTTCCCTTTTACAGCATGTGTGACTTATGGCAACAGAGAAAGTACTGAACTTTCCTTTTCTTTTTATTACTATTTTTTGATTTATTCTCAAGTTATCTAACATACAGTGTATTCTTGGTTTCAGGAGTAGATTCCTGTGAATCATCACTTACATACAACACTCAGTGCTCATCCCAACAAGTGCCCTCCTCAATGCCCATCACCCATTTTCCCCTGTCCCCTATTCCCCCCATCCACCCTCAGTTTGTTCTCTGTATTTAAGAGTCTGTTATGGTTTGCCTCCCTTTCTGTTTTTAGGTTATTTTTTATTCCCTTCCCCTATTGTTAGGGTTTTCATCAGCAGACCTTTAACTGTGCTGACCTGGACTCCAGACCTTCTGCTACGCTGATATTCTGAACATGAATTTTGTCAACCCCCCC